AGTGTGTAAGAACTAAATCTCGCCCTGCATTTAAATATTGTACAACTCTAATGCTGTATTATAAGAAATAAAGTCCTTTATTATTATTATTATTATATTATTACGTCCTTGGGACGTACCCAGTATATCCGCTATAATTTTCCCAAATAAGTAAGAGACTGGACGTACCCAAAACTTCCGATATAGGTCTAGGACGTTCGGACCTATGTGGGACCCGAAATGGACGTCCTGGGTACCTCTTGTGCTATCTGGGCTAACAGGTTAACCTAACGCAATAACAATAATTTGAACGCTGAAAAGTAATTCGAACCTTACCGAACACAAAAACGACAAGTTAAACAAAAAGTAGAGCAAGTTAACATCCATTAAGGTGTATGTATCTTGGATGCAATCGAACCTTTTGAAAAGATAAATTCTTTCTATAATTAAAATATTTTTGACAAATTGACGACAAAAGCTAATATAATATAGTTTTATAATTTAAATATTATAAAAACTCTTGCTGGTTTAAGCCTAAATTATAGATTGCCTTCCTTCCTTCCTCCCGTAGTCGTGCCCGTACGATTTGTGCGTCTTGTAAAAAGTCAATTTATAGATTTCCGTGTAAAATTCCGTAACCATGCGCGATGACATCTAAAATGGTTGACATTTGTTTTCGTTTATATTTTGCGTTTTACCCATTGTGTGTAAATATGAAAGATAATCATTTATATATTAGTGCAGTGATCACAATTTTAATTGTCCAGGCAGCTTGTTCTATACTGCCCAACTATGGAGAAAGGCAGTAACTGCTAAACAAGAAATTTGTGGGAAATTAGCATAAACTACATTTTTATATAAAGCAGTAGGTATTTAACTGATTTATTTAACTTAAAAGATAGTTTACTGCATTTCTTTGTTGAATTACGATACAAAATGTCCATAGCTTTATCATAGCACAAGAAAACGCATTTGTAGTTACTGCCTTTTTCCATAGTAGGGCAGTACCTACCTATAATGAAAAAAAAAACATCAAACAAGACGTTGGAAGATTCGCCCACTTTACCAAGACCGGGAAACTAGGGGGTTTTACAAAGCAACGTTTCTAAAAATGAAAGACATTGATCATAAACAATATCTAAATATCCTATTTAGAGACACAAATTATTTAATAATTTAAAGAATCATGTATTTTAAATATTTTGTAATTACGCCTGTCACCCTACAGCGCATGTCAATAACAAGCACTGTGATTGGTCATGTCAAAAACCTTTACGATGAAAGATAAAACTTAAAAATTTCTACGGGAGGAAGGAATGCCGTCCTGACGGTACGGGAATCTATAACTGGCACTACGATTTAAATAAACATTTTTGACGTAATTGTCACCATTAACATTGCCTGTTATTAATTTTAATTAAACTTAACAATTATTGATACTTTAAAATATTAAAATAACTTCAAAATATGATTTTGTTAAGAAAATATTTTATTCTTTGATTTTTTTTATTACTATAATTGCAAAATATTATCACAAAGTATTAAAAATTCCTACACGGGAAATGTTCATGGTGACAATTACGTAATGTTCATATTCTACGGGAGGAAGGAAGGAAGGAAGGCAATTTATAACTTAGGCTTTATTGTATAATATTATTATGTCAGTTTGTAAATTTGTTTTTATAAGCCATGGCAACGCTGTATAAGAAAATATTAAGTGTATCAGAACTACGTTATACAACATCCAACGTATTAAAAAGAGATGGGTTATAAATTTTCGCCTGTGTAAAAAAAGCCACAATTTTAAGCGTCGTGATTGGTCTATAATAAATCCTATTCAACTCAATGCTTTTTTCTTAAATGGAATGGACTATAACTTTTACCACTAATTATAATTGGAAAGCGGCTTTGCGCATGTGCGCGGATTATTATGTCAAAAGCAAAAAGTGAAGGTAAGATTATATAAATATTATTGTAATGGTTGTAAAAAATATTATTTTAATATTTATTAATATTGTTTATGTCAGGTTAAGGAGATTGGACAATCTTTTAGCAAATTTCCTTAATTTTAGATGTTAATTTTGCGCATTGTGATTGATCGTTTTGTTAATTATAAAGTCGTTTTTTCGCGTAAATACCATGAAATACTATGGTTATTAAACTTAACCTTGGTTAATAGTTAAGGCATTTTTGCGTTTAGAGGGCGTTCAACAATCCTAACTATGACGTCACAAATACCAGACCATAAAACTATATCGCTGAGCTAGTTATTCAACGTGGTTAATAGTCTCTTTTTAATATATATTTTTCTCTGTTTCGATCTGTCAAAAAGTTGTTTACATTTGAAATTTAAAATATTTTAAGTAGGTACAATAGAGTAATTGCATCAAAAATGAAAATCCCTAAAAACCTTTTTAATGTAATCTAGAGGTAAAAACACATTGCAAAAATATTTTTTTTCAAGCGGCCATGATATACAACCTTATAATATATTATATATTATGCCTGTATAGAGATAGTTGAAGTGCGTCTTTTTCATTAGCGGCAGACAAAAAACTCAAAAAGCCTAGGGATAGAAGTAAATCCATAGGTGTCTCAATAGACGTCAAATAATAAAATTAATTTAGAATTTCATACAAAGCAATCACGTTGTATTAATTATATTAATTATAATCGCACGGAATATTTAGTGATTATTTATTAAATTTTAATTGAACGAAATAAAGAACAACTAGTTTATTATTATAATATTATGATGATAGACGAGTTGCCAATGTCGGAACTCCAAACAAATGTCAGTACGTCAAAATTAATTCAAGCGCAGCATTTTGACAGAGCAGGGTTTATTTTTAGTTTAGGATATTTATCGGCATTGTAAGTAAGGGTTATAAGTTTTTATCAATAATTTCTAATGCTTTTAGCCAAAATTTTATACCACATGAGTTAAGAGTAAATAAAATAATTCCATTGCTTATCCTATTTATATTACGCCCTTGAAAAAAAAATTGTATATGTTATTTGGAGTAGAAGCTCTTTTTGTGCTTCGTACAGTTTCCTGCCTCAGCTACGCTTCGGCCGTCAATCTCTGTACTCACCACAAAAAGAGTCGCTTCTACTCCTTATGACATAATCTACTATTTTTTATATTCCAAAAGTTCAACCCGGCCCCAAAATATCAAATTGAAAAAAAGGTACTTTTCAAACGTTCAAACATAAACTTTATCGGTGTTTATTATTTGTTGACATCTTGATTTCTGACAGCTGTGTAGCTTTATGACGTCATGCAATATGGCGGGAGTTCGGAACGTTTGAAAAGTACCTTTTTTTCAATTTGATATTTTGAGGCCGGGTTAAACTTTTGGAATATAAAAAAATATTTTCGCAATGTGTTTTTACCTCTAGATTACAATAAAAAGGTTTTTAGGGATTTTCATTTTTGATGCAATTACCTATGTTATGTTCTGTGGCAATTACTCTATTGCTCTTAAACCGAATTTAAACTTTGTATTAAAATGGTAAACGGGGTGTTGTCAGTAAAAATAAATAATAGGGTGCTCCATATTGTGGAATCTCCACAAGTGAAGGAATTATATGCAGGTTTGTTTTATATTCTTCCTTATTTTGTATTAAACATGTAGGAGGATAATGTGTATTGAAAAAACTAGTACCTATAGAAAAAGAATATAGGTACTAGGTATAAGAAGATGCAAAGAAATTTATATAGGTTAACCTATAATTTTTGAAATGTGTTTTTACCTATTTATAATTAATTTCTATGCTTTTACCGGTGTAAATAAATTTCTTTGCATCTTCTTATACCTAGTACCTATATTCTTTTTCTATAGGTACTAGTTTTTTCAATACACATTATCCTCATAATTATGAACAAGTAAACAAATGTCAAATATTAGAAACCTAACCATGGTTATATGAATTAACTGTGACGTCATGACTTATTTAACCGTAGTATTACATAGTATTTACGCGAAAAAACGACTTTAAGTAATAATTGAAACCACTAATTTTTTCCACTAATTACGAGGTTCTGAATGAGGCTTTAAGGTGGGCTTATGCACTTAGGACAAAACTTAACATTTAAGACTTAAGAATTAAAAATTAAGCGAAAATTTTGTGGCGTTCATGCAGCATTTATCTTAAGACTTAAAACTTAAGGAGTAACCAATCAAAATCGATAAAAATATCACGTGGTATCAAGTTGGTACTACCAACATTAAAATGACAATTAACATTGAAATTTTACCGTTGTGTTTTGCGAATGCGTATATTTTTGTTATCAACGTTTTTTATAATCTGTGTTTACTAGTTTAATCTAAAATGGATCCAAACTATCTATCATCTATTATCTATCAATCAATGAAATAACCTAACTTTTAACTTCTTAATTTTTAAATGTTAAGTCTTAAGTTTTAAGTCTGCATAAACCAGGCACATAACTGTAGAATAAATTCATGTACATAACATATAATATAACATATGTTAAACCTCAAACCTGACAAAATGTCCCAAACTCGATCATTTTAATGTAAGAAGGTACAGAATTATTAAATGCTTGAAAAAAAATAGTGTATAGGTACAACCAAAGATAATCTTTGTATACAACAGGTTAAGGCCTCGGCAGCGAAGTTCGCTTAGCGAACACTGAGCTCGGCTTTAAATAAGCGCTTTCTCTGCCTGTTAGATAATTTACAATTAAAGCTACATTTTTCGTTAATGTTTAAGAATTGGTCCTCGTACTGATATTTGGACGACTTTTTATATTGGGCGAATTTTTTGAAATTTCCGCTACTTTTTCTCAAAAGGTGGTAACCATGATTCCATATAATATTCCTTGTCTATGCATACTTTGAAATATCTATATGGATCTCAAACATTTTCCTTAGAAACGTATTATGTCAATAATGCACGATCTTTATAACCAGTTTGTGTCACAAATGTTACTGTTGGGCATTATTTTCTAAACCTTCATTAATAAATTTAACAGTTTAAAAAAAAAACAAAAAATGGATGATGTTGCGTCGGACCATGGAATTCATTTTTCTTCGGAACCAGCAATAAATGAATTCAGTCGAAATAGAAATCCTATGATGTGTACAGCTCATGATGGACATCACGTAGATTATGGAATCCCCTTGATATTTTCAAAAAATAATGACTATAGGACGTCGACAACAAGGGCACATGAGTTTATACCATCAGTGCCTCAAAATTTTGATTGTGTAGGAAATAAAATAAAATAAAAATGCTGTAACCCCTAGATAAAATATATGCTTTTTATAATATTTTAGAAGGTGAATGCTGCTATAAATCCTGCTCTTGTTCATATAGACTTGGGGATAAAAGAAGAAGGATTAAAAACATCTTATTTATCGGAGTATCAATTTAAAGTTTCACAGGATAATCCATTGATTAAGTTGGGAAAAGCACCCAGATCTAATGATTATGGAAGAACCATGGAAGAAAAAGTTATGTATTTATTTAACAAAAAATAACTTGAAATGTTTATATTTCTTTTTAGATGGTAATGGATCCCCCACCTCCAGAAAAAATTAAAATATCAGAAATGAAAGACAATTATAGAATGCACTATTACACCCCAAAAAGAAGGGTGTTTAAAGCCCCTGAAGAAATAGCTAGGTGTAAAGTAAGAAAAAAACTAAAATTATACTAATAATATTGGGATAATTACCCCCCCTAAGATAAAAGTCCTAAGAAAAAAATTACTACAAATATAATTTATGAATGCAAGTCTTTAAAGGGTAGCATAATAAAAGCCCTATTTTATTACTATTGCACTAGATGGTGGTAATAATTTCGCATCTTATGCGCATCATCTACACCTTTTCCAATTGTATTTCAGAAAGCCTCAAATGAATTTCAGAAACCGACAAATATATTTCAGAATTGTCAAATTTCAGAAAGCGTTAAATGTTTTTCATAATAGTCAAATGTATTTCATAATGCGTACTATGTATTTCAGAATAATCAAATGTATTTCAGAAAGCATTAAATGTATTTCAGAAAGCGCCCAATGTATTTCAGAAAGCGTCAAATGTATTTCAGAACGGGATAAATATATTTCAGAAAGCGACAAATGTATTTTAGAAAGCGTCAAATGTATTTCAGAACGCGTTTTCCAATTGTATTTCAGAAAGCCTTAAATGTATTTCAGAATAGTCAAATGTAATTCAGAAAGCGTTAAATGGATTTCATAATAGTCAAATGTATTTCGGAATTCGTTAAATGTATTTCAGAATAGTCAAATGTATTTCAGAAAGCGTCACATATATTTCAGAATAGTCAAATGTATTTTAGAAAGCGTCATATGTATTTCAGAAAGCGTCAAATGTATTTAGAATAGTCAGAATGCGCATTAAATACTCCCACATTAATAAGCTGTGACTGACTTTATGGCGTTTTAGTCACGGGCTGAAGTTAGCAACAGTGGCTTTTGAGCATTTTAGTCACGGGATAAAGTGGAAAGTGAGGTTAAATCCGTTGACAGTTGACAGATGTCAAATTTTTAATAAATAAAATTGGACACTTTTTTTTATTAAACACTCGCTCGCAAGCTTCGCTCGTGCCTAATAAAACTCGTAACTAAAATGGCGTTTATAAAACTTGATATTAATAAATTGTATTTTTTTTAAATTTTATTCTACTAAAAAAATGGAAAAAAAATACTGAATTTGTTTCAAACTTTTTAATTGTTTTTAGCTAGAGGTAATCCACTTTAAAATCTTAGATACCAACGTTCAATATTAGTGGACGTTGTGTTGAGATTTTTTTCCTTATCAGTCGTTATCATTATTATTATTGCAATAAGGAAAACTTTCTTAATCGGTGCTTAATCAGGGCTTAGCGACGCGTTGCGCATGACTACCCTTATTATTGTTATCCTTAGCCGTTATTTCGTAAGCGATTTTTAATTTTTAAAAATCAGTGGTTTACCCCTCAGTTTTTAGTGTTTTATGTACATATTATTTAAACTTTTTTACTGTTTAACATTTAGTACAATGTTACAGTGATTGATTATCACACTATGTACACAAGGAGTACAAACTTTTTATGTAGATGTAATGTCCCTTTGTACTAACAAGAATGCAGCCTGCTTCATAGTTGAGACATGCCCTACTTCTCTTTTAGCGCCCTCTTATTTTGGGAAGCCATTTGTTTACATGAAGTTCATACTTCTTGTGTAGGCTCCCTGAATAATTGTCTAGGCCGAAATCGGGTAAAGTTTTTTACCTCCTAGTCTGTAAAAACTTTATATAGATGTATCGATAGCACAAAACTATCATATCGAAAATATCGATGGTCGAATTTTTGACTATGGCACACCTCTAGCTGATACACCTCAATGTGAAACTGCCACTGTTGTGTAAATATATATATTTACACAACAGTGACATATGGTGACTGCAGATGTTGAAAACCTGTAATTTGGAAGTAGCCGCTACTGAAACAAACTCTACAATGGATGTGGCCGCTTTTGCAAAATATTCCAAAATTTAAACGTACTTTTTAGCGGGACCTAACCGCTTTTAAAATAATTTAAGTTTATCACGTGACAAGGCACATCTTATAATATGGTTTTCTACTGTTAGATTAATTTTGATAAAATATGGATGTAGCCACTATTGCAAGTAGACGCCTCATGTGTTAGTACTCACGGTTTTTGACATTTTGCTCAAAATCACCTAATATGGGTAAGCCGAGTTTTGGAATGCACCTCCACATTTATAACTATGTAATATATAGTAATAATATTAATATGTATGTAGTAAATACATTTTTTATATAATAATAATAATAATACCTAATAATTTTCGTTTATATAAATTTATGTTGTAGGTATATTCTTTACACACTAACCATGCTATCAATTAAAAAGCTTCCAGAATATATATTTTCACTATTCTGAAATACATTTGATGCTTTCTGAAATACATTTAAAGCATTCCGAAATACATTTGATTATTCTGAAATACATTTGACACTTTCTGAAATGCATTTGACGCTTTCTAAAATACATTTTACTATTTTGAAATTCATTTGATGCTTTCTAAAATACATTTGACTATTTCGAACTGCATTTAACGCATTCCGAAATACATTTGACTATTATGAAATACATTGGGCGCTTTCTGAAATATATTTGACGTTTTCTGAAATACATTTGACGCTTTCTGAAATACAATTGGAAAAGGTGTAGAGCATCGGTTGAAAAAAAGACATAATTTTATAATTTGAATTTTATTTTTAAAAATATTACCTAGGTACTTAAAAAAGAGTAGGTATATGTTTATGAGATATTTAGTTTTGATACCATATATGGGGCAAAATTTGCCAAGTGTACCAGGTGAAAAAATTGTTGTCACCGATTTTGTTTAAACTTTACTTATTTGTTGTTCTTATAACGAAGAATCATAGCATAAAATTTTTTTGCTCTAGGATTGTTCATTCAAGAGTTATGGATTATTGAAATTTATCGATTTTTTACTTTTTGGTGAAATCGCTTTTTATTTAAAAATTCATAACTTCTGTTCATCTCTTTATTAAATATTTCAATTTAACCACCTTAAATGATTTTTTCCGTACTTTTCAATGAGCTATACCGTTTTTGCAAAAAAATAAAAATTGCAATTTTTTTTTAAATTTTGCAAAATTTTGCATTTTTTGAAACAATGTGTATTTTTTTATTTTTTTTAAAATAGCATAAAATCCAAGTTTATTATGTTACCTTTGAATAAAAAAAAAATTTAGAGTGGGCCCGACATGTAGAAGGGAAGTTTTTCATATTTGAATGCCGCACGGTCTAGCCATCGAATAGCTACTACACTGCCGTATGCGTTTATACCTAGTAGATGCGAGTAAACGAATAAAAAATGATAATTTAAAATGTAAATTTACATTTTAAATTATCATTTTTTATTCGTTTACTCGCATCTACTAGGTATAATTTAAATTATGTTTGAGTAGTCAATGATGTATTTTAAATATTTACACTGCCGCACGATATAGTTTTTTAACTGTATTTTTTGCACAAATTGTTTAAGCATGGGTCTAGATAGATTTCGCAAGGAGGATCGATGATATTAAATAAAAAATGTATTGTAGCTATTCGATGGCTAGACCGTGCGGCATTCAAATATGAAAAACTTCCTTTCTACATGTCGGGCCCACTCTAAAATTTTTTTTTATTCAAAGGTAACATAATAAACTTGGATTTTATGCTATTTAAAAAAAATAAAAAAATACACATTGTTTCAAAAAATGCAAAATTTTGCAAAATTTCAAAAAAAAATTGCAATTTTTATTTTTTTGCAAAAGCGGTAATGCCCATTGAAAAGTACGGAAAAAATCATTTAAGGTGGTTAAATTGAAATATTTAATAAAGAGATGAACAGAAGTTATGAATTTTTAAATAAAAAGCGATTTCACCAAAAAGTAAAAAATCGATAAATTTCAATAATCCATAACTTTTGAATGAACAATCCTAGAGCAAAAAAATTTTATGGTATGATTCTTCGTTATAAGAACAACAAATAAGTAAAGTTTAAACAAAATCGGTGACAAAAATTTTTTCACCTGGTACACTTGGCAAATTTTGCCCCATATATGGTACGATTATACCACACAGCAAACGGAAAATTATAGAGGTGTATAGGATGACGCCACGTTTGAATATCGTTTTCTAAATCTCCCTACGGTATAGAGTTGTATTCGTCAGTCGAGCGTTTCAATACTCTCCACAGTATAGAGGTCGTAATTTCACTTTTGAACTAGTATTAATATAAAAATTATTTTATGCTTAAAAAAAAACTATATACGACATGATTGTGATTTTTTTCATTTTATTAATTAATTAAGCTGTGTTGAATATTTTTCCTAAAGGAATAATTGCCAATGGGCCATTAATTCATTTGTTCGTAGATGCTACAATAACCTGCACTGGTGTGTACTTTTTTATCAACCAGATTTAAATATTACAAAACTAACATATACCAGTGGAGATAGTGCAGGGTCTACCAACAGACCTAATTACTAAATTATTAAAGTTTAATAGCATATCGATCATTTTTTCAACATAACCTCAGAAATTGTTAATACAAATATAGGTACTTTATATAATAAATAAATATACTTAACATCATATCATCTGTGCTTTACATACCTGAGTTGTTACGGTAAATAAAAATCAGATAAACGAACCAAAGAAAGGAACTATTTTCAACAAAATCATATGCAGAAAGGAGAAAATTCAAACTACTTGCATCCATCAAAAGATCAAAACTTCTTGCAATATTACACCCTCTTTTTATACTCTCAGAAATATTGACTAGAACAGTATTAGAGAGACTCTCGGGGACATTAACGAAAATCATTGCCAGTAAAATTCGAAAAGCTTGAGTTTCTATGTCTCTGAGGAGAATAGGAATCCGAAGTTGCTGCACCATTGGACTGAACCCTTTTTAAATAATTTCTAGAG